TTTCAGAGGTCATACTGCCTCCGTCGTCAGAGTATGAAGATTTCTGTCTTCTGGGTTTTTGCGCTGTGTAGTCTGGTCGATGTTAACCAACGTTTCAGAGGTCATACTGCCTCCGTCATCAGAGTATGAAGATTTCCGTCTTCTGGGTTGTTGGCGCTGTGTAGTCTGGTCGATGTTAACCAACGTTTCAGAGGTCATACTGCCTCCATCATCAGGGCAGCATTGACCTCTGAAACGTCGGTAAGCTTCTACCAGACTACACGGCCCTGTAACCCAGAAGACACCCTTCTTCAGACACACCGCCGTGATTACCTCGAAACATGTTAAGAAAGATTAATGCAAAGTGTTTTGCCAGGACCGTGTTAAGAATTAGTGTGCGGACAGATGTTCTCATTCAGAAAAAAGAACACGGTGACTATTGAAGCTGAAATATACGTGACAGAATTAACAAACCAATCAGTGCAGTGTCCAGATTATCTTCTTAATTAAGGTTCTCTGCTTTCAAGACGACTTCCTTAGATGTATTTCCACGTAGTGGATCTGCGGGCACACTGCCATGTATTGACAAGAAATGTTTCTGTCCTAACCGTAACGTTTAAGGTTAAATGCCCTCCGGGGGGAGTTACTAGGCTCTTTTATGTAAATCCGTGTGCCTTATTTACGTATGAGACATGGAAAACTATAGTTGATACTAGGCCTGCAACAGTACAACGCGTACATTCAAATTCAATAATTTTAAAACCCTTAAGAGTTAACCCAGAACAATTTTAACAGAATTAATTCAATTATTTATTTTAATCCGTCTGATCACAATATTTAAAATTTCTTATAATTAAGATAATAAAATATCATTGATGTTCCATATCGATTGATCGATTTACATTTCGGAACATTTACACAACATGTTTCGGTTTTTATAAAACCATCATCAGGAGTAAAATATATCTAAGAACTTAAAACTCAATTATGATTTCTGTAGTTTTTTGGTGATGTTTCATTACGTTTGTTTTTCCATTTTTGGGCGAAGGTGTTGTTTTTTCTTAAATGTTATTAGATGTACATATCGGCCAAAGATGTAGGAGTGAGTGTCCCGATATGTCCACAAGTACTAGTGTCTTCGAATAGGTGTGGGTCAATACTGACTGTACACTACAACAACCTATTTATTAAATATCGGTTTTAATTGTGATATCCTTACATCTGTGGTCACGTAGAAAGAAATTCTCAACCACAATTTGGTAAAATTGCCTTCACGTCTATTTCGAAGCGAACCCCGTCATTTGAAGTACAATTAAAATAAGAAGGAAAGCTCATATGAGTTGTTCCTTATTTTTTTTTAAGATCTCATGGTGCATTCACATGCGGTATTCAGAACGTCCATCCCAACAGAAACTGGTCTCACTAAACCTGCTTCATCGTTTTCTCTTCAGTATACCTGCAGACATATAGGGGAACAATATCTTCTTGGGTAAGTGCATTGTCCTGGCATTACACAGATCAAGTTCCTTTGTCAATAGTATCACAAACTGAAATAGGTGTTTCGTTCGTATTAGTTTTCCGACGATTATTTCTGAAAATAGTCCCATATAATCAGCGTTCCTTTTAAAAACGCTGGTCTAATTTCGTACATGTTTCTGAGATGCATGTGGCTATCTGAGTTAACATTTGTTGAATCGAAGTACTCGCATTTTACTCACATTTTAACCAATAAACTAACATTAGAGGTCTGCTCTTATTGTACGTATGTTTTGACAATAACAAATTTACCTAATTGTTTAATTGTTTAATTTTACATTTACGAAACAACATTGAATGTGATAACAAAAGTACAATTGATCTAGAAGAGGATAACTTTCCGATATTTAATGGACATCTGACGAAGAATTGCATTTAGAATATTACTTTTAAATTTATATCGATTAAACACCTGAAGATGGTTCATTGAAAACCGAAACATGTCGTGAAAAAGATGATGCTCTAATTGTAAATCGAACATTTCGATATAAAGAGCATCATTTTAATATATTTTAAATATTTTAAATATTAAATGTTAATTGTAATAATAATATTTTAATATTTAATAAAATATTTTATTGTGATTAGACGGTTAAAATTAAACAATTATAATCATCACACAACATTATCATCTCATAAATTTACCTAGATAAAATAATTGCTCAACGTAATGAATGTATTATTTTCATTTTAAAAAATATTCTGAGGGGTTTGGAAGTAAATAAACAAACATGACGACTTGAGAATCAGCAGCTAAATGTAATTAACTGTGTTAAATAATTAAGGCTTTTACTATCCTGGAACAAGATGGTAAAAATGAGATTTTGTGCACAAATAAAGGAAATAATTTTTTTATATTTTTGCTATAGATAATTACTTCGTCCATTGCTGTACTTACGTCAGCCATCTTAAATATTGAAGTTGCAAAATAATTTGATTCTTATTGTTATAAGTGTGATCTTGTAACATGATGGAAGGATATAGGTTGAAATGTTTTTAAAAAAGCTTTTAGGATGAATTTTAGGACAATAGAAGGCAAAGGCGTGTAAGCTGAAGCCCCGGCGAGTAGGAGGGCGCGGCGGTGTTCGCGGAAGGGTCAGGGCGCGAGCCCGCCTGGAACCGCCGCCCTTGCAGATCTTGGTGGTAGTAGCAAATAATCTCAAATAATTTCAAGATGTAGAAACCGAGGATCTTCGTGATTAATATTGGCCACCTAATATATATATATATATTGTTAGCAATTGGCTGCACATGTTGCTAAGACTCAGGTGATAAGAAATGAAGAAAGAATTTTGATGCGGAAACCTCGTGAATGAGTTAATTAGGAAAACTGAAAAAAAAATATAAATTCTTTTGTGAGGATGGTACTTGGAAGAAATTACTTTAGGATCGTGTCCAGTTACGCTGTTAGATATTAGTGGTGTAGAACCATGGGTTCTGTTATATAAACGCTAAAGTTTTTATGTGGCCATGTTCGAACCTTTCAGCAACCTCATGGTTAGTCACAAGCCAAAGTAATAAACATCACAGCAACCCATAAGTCTTCGCGTACTCCCAGATATAATTTCTCTTCAACTTTGTACCCCCCAAAGTTGTTGGTGTATAATTCAAGTTATACATAGTATATAATCTACATCTAAAATAAATTAAATAAATTACATTACTGATTATTCAGTGTTTATCATAGAATAATATATTTTTTTTAAATTTCACGTACCCCCTAAGATGTCTTCGCGTACCCCCAGATATAATTTCTCTTCAACTTTGTACCCCCAAAGTTGTTGGTGTATAATTCAAGTTATACATAGTATATAATCTACATCTAAAATAAATTAAATAAATTACATTACTGATTATTCAGTGTTTATCATAAAATAATATATATATATTTTAAATTTCACGTACCCCCTAAGATGTCTTCGCGTACCCCCGGGGGTACGCGTACCCCAGGTTGAATACCACTGGTCTAGAACAGTGGTATTCAACCTTTTTTGTTCGCGTACCCCCAGATATAATTTCTCTTCAACTTGTACCACCAAAGTTGTTGGTGTATAATTCAAGTTATACATAGTATATAATCTACATCTAAGATAAATTAAATAAATTAAATTACTGATTATTCAGTGTTTATCATAAAATAATATATACATATTTTTAAATTTCACGTACCCCCTTAGATGTTTTCGCGTACCCCCGGGGGTACGCGTACCCCAGGTTGAATACCACTGAGCTAGACGACATTCACATCACCGTGAAATCATCAAATCTTATTATCAGGACATTTAATGAGCTGAAGAATCCTCAGACGTTTCAGATGTGCTTACTGCCTCCGTCATCAGGGCGGTTGTGTCCTGATTGCCCTGATGGTTGATGCATAAAGCAAATCTGAAATGTCGGGAAACATCTACCAACACCCCAAGAGACAGTCTTCATGCTTGCCACCTTGAGAACATGAAATCTCACCAATTTATAAGCCAATAGACAGTTATGTTAAAAAAACTGGTTTTATTTAAACTTTGATAGCTGTAGGCCGGCAATTAAATCTCGTAAATTTTAAAATATTTACAGGCTCATAATTTACGAAACGTCGGTAATATTTTGTGTTTGTGTTAAGATTTCTTACGCGAATTCTTACTTCAAGGAACAGTGAGATATGTAACACATATCGAGAAGAACATAAATTATACAGAATTCTACTCTCAAAATACGTAAAGCAAAATTTGTGGATAATTTTTACACGTGAAACATTGTGGATTCAACTGGCTCAGAATAAGATTCATTTCTTACAAGGCGAGGAACTTTGTGACCAGATGAGCTACTATAAACTTCTTAAGGACTCTGCTCCGTGGTATTACATTTACTTCATACGTAATTATCAGCTTATCGCTTTCTGCTCAAACGAAACAATGACGAGACATAAGTTTCCTCTTTCAGCCACTGCCTTATACGCAGGCCTGGACGAGAAAAGCTGCATATCCCTCCTTGTTGCCAAGCGCGTACTCACTTCAACAGCTCCATTAATCTCACACAACTCGGGAACCACTACACATCGTGTTAAAAAATAGTCCGTCTCTTCGTTCGGTCTCGGACCGACCGTGTCCACGGTCGTATTTGACAAACTTCAGGTCACACTCAGCGCATGCGCTACTCATCCCTTCTCCCACCCACACACTTCAATTCCCGGAGCGCCAGTTCTGTATAGCGGGTACTTTGCGCTTACTCGCAGAACCACAATGTACTTGGTGCGTGGCGGGTGGTCTAACATCCGGAATTAGGATTGACTCAACAGGTAAATTGCATGAATATTTATACGTGTTCTTTCTTGTTGTGGGCGGACGTGTTACTTCGTTTAAATTTGGATCTAAAAGGGAAAGTTAAATACATTAGTAAGTTATATCTGTAAGGAATTTAATACTTTTAATTTTGTTCCGCTGATCGCAGTGGCCACGCGGTCTGAGGCATGGTCCTCGTTGGGTTCGAGTCCCACTCAAGGCATGGATGTTTATCGTAAGAAAATTCGGATGGGGTCACGACGGTCAAAGCTGACCATAGACGATGAAAATAAAAAATTGTTCCCTGTTCAACAGTCATACGTGATTGAATTAAATGAAAAATATCAAGAAGCCATCTTGTGTACTGTGTAATTATAATAAATCTTAATACATGTTATGTATTGATTGACGAACAGCCAAGAGTAATGCGTGATTAATGTAACACTTTTCTTTGTTGATGTTGGTGTGAAAATATATTTTAACACTTTAACACAATTAAAAGAACTGCAGAGGAATCAGATGTCAAGTAACTCTATAGAAGAGTATTTATTCGGAAGCTAATATTTACTTAGCGAGTCAAGAAATTTAACGCATTTTTTGGAACCCAAACATTCATTACTGTGTTTACAAATGAAAATCCTTGGACTGCATCCACGTTCCAGTCCACAAGCCCAATTATTTTTTGAAATTCATTTTAATATTATCCTCTCACTAATATGCTTGGGTCTCTCAAGTAGTTCTCTTAAAGTTTTGCGACTAAAATGAACTGATAATAAGAATCTTTAAAGGTTTTGTACTGGTGTGAATCTTACTGTAAAAATTTAATTTGGAGAATCGCGTATTAAAAATTGAAATTATGTACCGGTATATGCTTGAAAATTTTATCACTTCTGAAAATTTTTGCAGTATGTGAGTAATTAATACACAGTTTGTGTTAAATTAAAATTAAAATTTATCTCGATAATTTCATTCTGAGACTCTGCCTTGCACTTGCAATAAAACAGAAGGTACTTAACCCTTTGAAGCCGAAGATCGTCTGAATATTATTTATGAATTCAGTCTGTACCGCGAAGAAAACACTACACCTCACCATTACGAAAATCAGCTGGTTAACCCTTTGAAGCCGAAGCTCGTCTTCATAATATTTACGAATCCAGACCGTACCGCGAAGAAAACACTTCACTTAACCATTAGAAGTCGAATCAGGCGGTACCACATAAGATTTAACATCCCGGTCAAAGCCTTAATAAAGTAAACGTGAGTTACTCTGGGGTGCATGATTTCAGTAGAAAAATATTAAAGTTTATAGTTTCAAAATAGTCTACTCGACGCAAATTCAGCGCGCCATTTAGATAATTCTAACTCGATATTTATTTTGTTATAATATATTAATGTAATTCATAAAAGTCATTTAAAGACTGCTTTAAGGTGTCCTTCTCCATAACTTAACTATAGATTTGTTTCATCTCTGTTCTCTGTTTCTTGTTCAAGCCAGGTGGCTATTTCTAATGAGAATATTAGCATCACTAGAACATTGCACACACTGATTTTATTCTGTCGTGTCAAAGAGCATCGGTTTACAAATTAATTAATTAACTTTGTGGAAGTGTTCTTTAGAAGCTATTAGTCGCCTAGCTGGTGTAAGAATAGCACGCCTTCTATTTAACTCCATGGTTCATTAACGTTTGATGAATGTTATGAATGTACATACACATCTGCTGTTAGGAGAAGAGATTTTATTAGCATTTCTTGCAAAACAAATATTTTGCAGGCTGTGATTCGTATCCTAAAGTACAGGTTTCGAATAACTAAAAACTTGAACTGACGTATAGTAACATTTCGTATGTAAGTTTCAATGTCGTGCATGTTTTATTAATTACTTTAATATACTAATTAATTTTCTTATCGTTTAATTTTAATCTATTTCCGTGCTTTACAAATAATATATATATTTTTATACAATGATTGTGTGTTAAGAAAGCAATTTTGTTACTGTATCAGGGGCAATTTCAGTAATAAGCCAACAGTTACTTCGTAGAACACACACAAACATCTTAATTCAGATATTAAACCTCAGTATGAATTCAAAATTCCAATTACAAGTTATAGAACGTAATTTTAAACCTCGAGTCTAAACATATTTCATGTTCCTTCGTTACGTAATTGATACCCTATCATCAAATCGTCATTAAATGTGTATATCCTCTTTATATGGCATTTAAACGTGCGTCTAAAAATAACTGAGGCGTAGAAGAAATCGTAATATTAATAAAACTGGATTCTGTAAAACTGTAACTGTATTAAACGTCTATAGAAAATATTACCCAGAATTCGTTAATGTTGTTTTAAAACCACGAAACGCATTAACTGAGCAATGTATGGTCTTAAATTTAATGAGTTACTCCCACTTGTGTTAGAACAACAGCTTCAATGTTTTTATAACTTCCTGGCACCGTTATATATTGTTTAATTACTTGTCATAACAGTTGGCAATCAAATTCTTCGTCTTTAGTAAGTGTATTATTAAACGAATATTCTAAGAACCTAACCAACCAGCAAATGTTCAGTATGGAAGATTAAATATAGAAACCGACGAGTTACTTACTCAGTAGAATATGTTTAAGTGGATGCTGTCAGTATCTTAACAGGTCCTACTGTTTAGTTAGATCATTTGCTGTTATGCTGATTGCTAATAACGAGGCAGCTGTTCATACGCGGTCTCCTCAAAGCATCGGTCCAATTTCACCCCCACCTCGAGCGAAACTGACTAGTTCTACGGAGCTTGAGGTTCATTTAACGACGCTGTCAGTAGATCAGACCCTTTCAAAAGCGTCCAGTGAACGAATAATTACTTTTAAAGTTAATTGGGGAAACGGTCGTGACCTAATTTAAGATAATATTCCGGCATTTCCCTAGGAGTAATGAGGGAAAATATAAAAATATAAATTAGGATAGTCGGTCTCCTGGCGTTGATTTAAATTCGGGTTTCCTCAGATACGAAGTATGATTACTAAAAAGTCGACCTCGACGTTAGGGAGTCTGTGGTAATCTGACAGTCGCTCAGTTAGTCTAGAATTTTCCAGTCTGTTATAGAATCTTGGAGTTAAAAATTTTCTTTATCGCGTGCAAAAGAACGCTGGACCATTTAATATTATCCTTCTACTAAACGAAAGTCTACAAAGTAGTTTCTTAACTTTAGGTTTTAAAATGAAGTTTTACATAGGATTTGAGGTTTTCATGGCGGTGAGTCTGGAGATGGCTGTCTTCTGGGTTGTTGAAATGTTGGTAGAAGTTTACAGACGTTTCAGAGGTCCTTTCTGCCTCCATAATCAGGGCTATAAGTTGCCCTGAAGGCAGCAAGAACCCTATGGAACGTCTGTAAACTTCTACCAACATTTCAACAACCCAGAAGACAGCCATCTTAAGTTTTACATACGTTTTCCTTCTGCCATGATATTGGTGCTAGCCAAAAGCCTACTTTTCTGTAATTCATCATGATATTAATCATCATCATAATGATCATCTTATACTCACAGTGTGTGGTGAGTCGTAGGTTTTTTGCTGTACCAAGAAACTCTTCCCTCCAACGCAGAAAAGTGTTCTCGGAACTCTTGGCGTATTGAAACGTTTTTTCATTCTCGCTTTCACATTAAGCCAGGGGCTATTTGTGGTTTGTTCACTTACCATAAAGTATTTCTGTGGTCTTATTCATGTGTTTGGGAATCGGGTGTTGAGGAGGATATTTGGGCCTAGGAGAGAAGACGATGGGGCATGGAGAAAACTGCATAATGACGAACTTAAAAATTTATACTCCTCCCCCAATATTGTCACGGTGATTAAGTCGAGAAGAATGAGATGGGCTGGGCATGTAGCGCGCATGGATGGGACAAGAGGTGTGCACCGGGTCCTGGTTGGGAAGCCTGAGGGGAAGAGACCGCTGGGGAGACCTAGACGTAGATGGGAGGATAATCGCAGGCGGGATCTATGGGAGATAGGAGTTGAAGGAGACTGGATTTTGTTGGCCCAGGACAGAGTCCGGTGGAGGGCTTTGGTGAATTCGGCGATGAACCTTCGGGTTCGGTAAGCCATCTGGTTGGTTGGGTCCACTATTTGGGAAGCCTGAGGGGAAGAGACCGCTGGGGAGACCTAGACGTAGATGGGAGGATAATCGCAGGCGGGATCTATGGGAGATAGGAGTTGAAGGAGACTGGATTTTGTTGGCCCAGGACAGGGTCCTGTGGAGGGCTTTGGTTAGTTCGGTGATGAACCTCCGGGTTCGTTAAGCCATCTTGTTAGTTAGTTAGTGGTCTTATTCATGGTCTTGCAGTGTCTTCTCTCATTTTTCCTTCTCGTCTACTCAATGTACGGTGAATAATCTTCTCGTTTGTTCCCCTGTACCCTATTGAATTTTATTAAATTGTTTGTAACATTTTCCCAATCTCTTAATCTATTCTGTAATGTTCGTTTTATTTATTTCAATTAATTTTTTTGTGTTATAATTTTATTCTGCGTGTGCTTAATTTTTGGTCCACTTCTGGGGATATTGGACGCACATTTTAGACATTTTGAGTCGTTTTTTCCTTGATATGGCATCCAACTTGTCTTCTACTTGAATTAGCCGGCTCCAGTTCCGCCTTAAAACCATTTAAATATTAGATCATTATACGCGAGTTATTGGTTTAAATTCTCTTTCTTAAAACGATGTATAATTCATGTTAAGTCACTTCTTATAACTACAAACTGATACTTAGTACCGGGATTGGAAGAATTTTACCGCGTATTCAATTTATAAAGTCTGAAAAGAGCTTGTTATACGGGATGATTCAAGTCAGTAGTATAGTACTTAAGGAGGTTCTTTGGGAGATAATTTGGAACAGAAAATTTAAAGAATTATTTCATATTCTCCACGGTTTTTATACGTTGATGTCGCTTTGTGTTATTTTGATCGTTTGACGGGGGCTTTAGTCTGAGAGCGAGTGAAGGTACTGACAAGTGAACAGAAGTTTTGAAATTTGAACATTAAACGAACTCAATATATTATGTTAAAACGAAATATCTCCATTTTGTAGAAATCCTCAGTCACTATAATAACGTCTGCTTCGACGTAAAACTTTGTAACTCTCAAACGGTGGAGAATCTGAAAAAGAAATTTTAAGTTTCCTACTCCAAATAAGCATTGTACTAGAATTTTGAATCTCTCTATATGTTAGGGTAAAGTGAATGGCTGTTCGGATAGAACAAGATTATTGAAATTCCCCGAAACAAGAGACATGCGTTGTTATATATTGTACGACTTAAACAAGAGACATGCGTTGTTATATATTCTACGACTTTACGCTTTGAGGCTTCTAGAGGCAATTATGAATGTTAGAGTTATGATTAATGGTATATCAAGAATGCTGGAATGAGATATCATAGAATATTTTAAAGCAATGGACGTTCCGACGTCCTGCTTGTATAACAGAATCAGTAAGAGCCAGGAATGATGATTACGTTCTTGGTTGCACAGTTGGACTATATATATATATATTTAATATAGCTGACTTCTGGGTTGTAGCGTCTTGAAAACTTCAAATTCTACTTAGATATATAATAGTCATTACTGCAGTAATAATAATAATATTCTGACAACGTATTCTGATCTAATATTAGCCTAGTTATTTAGGGGCAACAAATTTTCTTATCTGTTGTTGTTGTAAGTACCCTGTCCAAGCCGCTTTTGAAACCTAGCACTTTGGGATCGCGGGTCCAGATTTCGCTACAGTACGGAATATATGTCCCCTCTCTGTGTTGTTGCATCTGCTGGATAGGAATCCATTATCAAAATACTATTTAAAAAAGAATTCGTAATCGAAACAGGCCGCAGAATCGAATTCTGTTAAGCTGAAAGTTTAGAAGAAATATTGTAACTGCTTGGAAAATGTACCACATTTCTTTGCAGTCATGTACAGTATACGATGTAATTAACATTATTCGCGTTTATGATTCATTATTTATGTATTAGGTTAATTTGATTGCCATCAGTACGTTAAATTTTATATGCACCTTATCTGTGTGATATTAAATACTAGTAATTTAAATAATTGAAAAATAAAATTAATAAATCGTACAATTTCCCAGCATAAAAATGTAGGGTCCTGGTAATTTATGTATCTCTTTTATTATAGAATTCAATTATTGTATAATAAAGGTGATACGTCATAATATATGAGCCCTTCGAAGACCATTGGTAACTTTACATTTCATCTACTTTAAGAATCGGCAAATCTTTATTTTGTACTTAAGGGCTCGGAATGATTCTCGCTGTGAACAAAGATTACTAATTTAAATAAAATTAACCCGATATTCTTTGTAATAGTGAAATGTGGTGTTTCCTTTGAGGTGCGGGCTGAATTATTCAATATTATCTAGAACATATTCGGTTTCAAGGGTTAATGAGAAATGATACGAAGGATTTATTCTTACGCGTTCATTAAGTTATTGCTTTCGGAATGTTTCAGTATGATATGTGATCAAAATCAGTCTACCAGTATAAAGTATAAAAGTCTTTGTTCATTCACCTCGAAGACAATAAGACATTTCCGAAAATAATGTATTGAAAATATACATTTCCTTTTTTGACTGTAACGTATGTTCGAAAATTTCTTCTCTCCGATACAATGAATGCACGTTCAAGATGCTTGTAGGTTTTGTAGTAAAGTATCTCTTACTGGTATATTATATAGTAATTGGAATATGTATACAAGTTTTAGCAGAAAGTTCAAATATAAACTTTAATAAAAATCCGCTTAGCGATTCTGGAGTTGGTACACGTAGACAATTAGTCAGATAAACATGGTGAGGCTAATAGGATGATTTCTGTAATATTTCGTTACGAACAGACCTAATAAATACCTTTAAGATATAGCGTGTCATTTGGCATATGCTTCGCAAATACGTCTGCATTGACAAGAACAGAGTGATTTATTTTTAATTCTGTCTGCCAACAGATGTCACTAAACTGACGTTCGAACGACGCGGTTAGATTAATAACACTCGTAGATCAATCAGTATTGGCCTATACACTTGAACATAAAAACAGTAACCGTGATTATAAGTACCCTATTCTAGTAAATCAATTGTTCGTATATCCTGGTTGTTTGGATTACGTCATGAAATTTCGCCCGCTGTCAAGCGTAAGTTAAACGTCCATACGAGATTGAAACAGAATCCCCGTCACGGTTTTAGAGACTGGACATGTGTGTGATCAGTTTGAATTGTAATCCGGTCTGCAATTGAACATATGGATTTTTATATTGGAAGCCGTGTTGACTTTAAAAATTTTCTGGTCTCGTTTTGAACTCGATCTCTGTCAGTGACGTGTGGTAAATAATTTGGTAGCTGTAAGGGTTGATTCTGAGGCGATCTAAGCCAATACCACGGATGTTTACCCTTCATATAATTGGTAGGCATCCTTTAAAACTGATTGCTAGATGTCAGAATGGGTGGTTTTTTTTTCCCTAATGTTGTACTGAAAAATGTTTTTGGAATGGTTTTTAAGTTTATTTACCATTAAAGGCTGTGCTGGTAACCTATAATGGGTTTTGCTTTAGATATTTCTCTGTTTCATCCAGTTTCGGTCAACTGAGTACAACTCAAATTTGGGGCCCTGCGAGCTACTGAAAATATTTTTGGAAATTGCGTGTGCTTCATGGTTCCCTGTAACATTTCTTCAAGGTGTTTGTTTTTCAGTCGAATACTTAGCGACATTCGCCCAAAATTATATTTAGGCCACGAAATGTGGGACTTGACAAAAATTAAAATGAATTAAACTCTCTCTTAGTGTACCTGATCATTGTGCTGGTGCCTGATACAGCGTTTCGTTGCAGAGTTTGGAATGTCAAGGCCCAAAATACATGTAATGAAGGTATGTCGAAGTTTTCTGAAAGACTTACATAACAGTTCAATTGGATGTGACTCAAAATAGATGGTACTCACTAATCCGTGTATAATTTCACTACATGTTCAGTGTTTTATAAAACTTGCGGGATTGTCCCCGTGGTTAAGTTGGATAGAAGAAATTTGGCTAGATTCGAGGCCACAAGAAAATTCTTAGTCCCTGCTAACGATCGAACCCAGATCGTCCAATTCGTAGCCAGACACTATGCTGACCGAGCTACGCCATTTCACTAAAATGAGTCGAGCTAAATAATTAGAATCATTAAATAAAATCTCTGTAGGTTTATTAGACATAATTTGATTAAAACCAGTCTGGTAATTTGTGTGATGTTAACGTTTTGACAGATATAGTGATTTTTTTAAAAAAAAAATTCTTCGAGACTCGCTTGTTTCGATTACAGAACACAATGAGTTAATGACTTGCGTGTTAGAGAGACCGGAAGTTCAAATAGAGCAGTGGTATTCAACCTGGGGTACGCGAAGACATCTTAGGGGGTACGTGAAATTTAAAAAAATATATATTATTTTATGATAATCACTGAATAATCAGTAATGTAATTTATTTAATTTATTTTAGATGTAGATTTTATACTATGTATAACTTGAATTATACACCAACAACTTTGGGGGTACAAAGTTGAAGAGAAATTATATCTGGGGGTACGCGAACAAAAAAAGTTTGAATACCACTGAGATAGAGTGTACAACGGTGACCAGGGTTTTGGCCCATTTTTCTCCAGGGTGAAGGTCCGATAATCTAATTTTAGGTGGGTGCACCCATACACGCTGGTCACAGTGACTGCGAGGTCTGAGACGTGGCTCACTGGGACCATGGGTTCGAATCCCACTTAAGGCATGGATGCTTGTCCGCGTCTTTTTGTGTTGTTGAGCTGTGTACAGGTAGAAGCCTTGCGACGGGCCGATCCCTCGTCCAGAGAGTCCTACCAAATGTCTTAATTAGTTTAAGCAACCTCCAAAAGAGGCGACCGAGACCTCCACTGGGTTCTAGAGCCATTAATGATGATCATGGTACATCTACAACCACATGAATCTAGTCTCTTATTTCCAGTGAAATTTATGTTTCAATCTTTTCCAATTTTTACTAACTCGTAACACAAGCAGAATCAGGATGTTCAACGTCGTTAATACCAGAACTCCTTTTTAACCAAGTCTTTGATTTCTTATGCAGCCCGATTATGAAGGAATTTATCCCGAACATCCATTTTTATTCTTTATGTCCGTCTCCTTCTTGGTTTTCCAAGTGGATGTTTCCGAGGGGAAATTTAAATATCTATTCTGCATGCATTACTTCCTCAGCAGCCAGAGCTACATGCCTAACCCATCTTTACTTCCTTAATTTGATTACCATAATAGTACTACGTGTCTTGTTTAAATCACAACGTTTATTATGTAATATATTAAATCGTAAAAAAATTGTCCAGTTCTGAGCCCTTTTCAATTCTATCGTCAGAATATTCAGACTGAAGAATTCTTTACCCTAAGACTTATCCTCAAGCGGGAGGACCACTCCTTGTCAGCTGTCTATAATTTTCTATTCAATACAGTCGTTAACTGCTCTCTCCATGAGAAACCCGAGATCACGTGCCACGGTGGCAAGAGACCCACTTAAACTTAGAGCCTATAAAAATGCATATACGAAAGTCATGTTTCTTCTCGGAGTCTGCAAACAAAAAGGCGACGGATTTGATAATTTGAGGAAAATCGCAAGGTATTGAAGTAGATCTGTTAATCACTACGGGAGTTACTGGTGTAATAATATAGAGTAATTTATATATCGCATCACTAAAATTTATAATGGCCAATGCCTTTGTTCTTCAGTTGCTGTAAGATCCTTTGTCGTTCGTCTAGTATCCATTTTGAGTGAACTACGACACGGCGTATCCTGTGGTTCTGAACTGAGTCATCCACCAGATATAGAGAAAGCCTGAGAGTCTGTACTACTCAAATAAACCAGGATTTTTTGATTTTACGTCTGTTTCCGTTGCATTTAAAAAGTCTGGACCTCGCAGAAAACGTTCGAATAAAGTAACTTTTAGCACGGATTGGTTTTGTCTTTTTATAGGAAAGGAAGTAAAGGGAATCACGAAATTCGGACAAGAATTAGTTTTAAAGGGCTAGAAAATAAGATGTAGTTGAACAGATTAAGGTAAGAACGAGATCATTCCCAGCTGAATTTTAACGGGAGTTTTATAATAAAATGTACAAGAATAAATCGATTATTAGAAGACAAAAATGAAGAAGCAGATTTCCAAAACTGGAAACGTTAATCGAAGGGATTATGGCCTTAACGAAACCTCATTGTGTGCACTGGGTCTCGTACTTGGACGCGTTGTCACGACTCAAGTAATGGACTTGATTAATAATAAGTAGCCCCATTTGAGATAAATTTCTCGCGGCGATGAAGATATTGGTTAACATTAAATTATTTGGTTATTCCGTCAAATCACAGTGTATTTAAAATAAGATAATTAAAATAATTAAAATATCATTCTGTGTTCCATATCGAATAAAAAAACTACACTACGAAAAATTGTAATTGAGTTTTAAATTTAATATAATTTTACACCTGATGATGGTTTAATAAAACCGAAACATGTTGTAAACTGTTTCAATTGTAAATCGATTATTCGATATGGAACACAGAATGATATTTTAATTATTTTAATTATCTTATTTAAATACATTGTGATTTGACGGAATAACCAAATAATTTAATTTTAATTTAATAAATCACAATATGACGTAACTACACTATCTTATGAAGATATTGGTGTTGATCGTATGGATTATAACTCAATGTGTCAACGTTTCGGAGGGACAAAATGCTTTCTCCTTCACGGCGTTAAAGTCAGAACACTGACTCCGATAATTATCCATTCATCAAATATTATTGGCGAAGCAAAATGACTCAAAAATTTTCGTTTCAGTAACTTAATACTTAAGCACGTATGAGAGGATAGTATTAATATGTATCGTACATTCTTAATTATGTCCTGTGCTTGAGTTTTCTATTTCCTTTACTCGCTACTTTGCAGAATTGAACCATTTTCCGTTTGATTTATATTTATTGTCATTATAATCATTATACTCATCATATTGGCTATAAAAATCGCTGGAAACAAAGAACTGAGTATACAGAAATGTATTTTTGTCAAACGACGTAAGACCGTGGGCCTTCTAGATGTTAGTGAGGCGCTATACTTACTCAGGAAATTTTGTGGGAATTACATTTTAAATTACTTCTAATTGGAGAGGAAGACACAAAAATAACTCCTTATTAAAATGGCCTTGGCATTTTCGGTACGTAAGTTAGTGGGCTGTTCGTGGAAAACTGAAATGAGAACCGCGGACTTCCCGTAATATCCATCTAGCAACCTTAATTCTAATTTAAATCCATCTGAGGATAACACCTATAAAATGTCAGATTCCAACATTAAGATCAGATGTCTTCTAATATCTGAAGTGTTTTTCTTAAATTCTGTTCCTTCAGTTGTTTATTATTAGTGTGCTACGTCAACAGCCAGAGAGCCAATCACAGATTCGGTACAAGAGAGGAACACAATAACAAATGCAGAAACGTAACATCAAAGAGATTATAAAAAATAACGTGATTTCAGAGGACATTTACACATAAAGACAACTTGCTACTGAATACATATCATTGTACTAAAAGTTTAAATAATTAAGTGATTTAGACTGACCAAAGAATAAAATGTGCTAAACATATATAAGGTACTAGATAAGAGAATTTACATAATTTTAATGACACACAGCTGGTCAAATGTGAGTAGTGGAGGAGATTAAGGAGAAAAATAAACAAGTTCCTGTGCTATTCCATGGCTCGTTATTCAACACACTGGGAACCATCCTACTGTATCTGGTGAGATCCTTCCCCACTGAATGTAACAAACATTTTCTACTCCTATGTTCCATGTTGCAAATTCTTGTACCTGAAGTGACGATAGGTAATGGTACCTTATTTAAGAGTTGTATATTTGAGACGCTAATTATAGCCGTCTTAATAACATTATTTTTTGTTGGGCAAGGCCGTGGTCTAGGCAACGCGGAGTTTTCCTCCGTGGCATCCCAACAATTACTTCGTTCACACACAGAAGAAGGCAATGGCAAACCACTTCTGGATCATCTGCCAAGAACGTATATGAACAGGTCCCAGTCCGAGAAAAGGATGGAAGGATCCTGTTCATATGGACCTGTCGTCAGACAGAACACTAAATAAAAAATAATATCGATAGCAGAACAGTTATTGTGATCAAAGGAATCGATTTTTCTTTCGATTATATCGAAGTCTCTGCAGATAGAATTAGCAGCTGATGAGCATCTATCGGAAGGATTGTTTGTAATTGAAAGTAAATTTCTTTTAATAAAACCTCATCTTTTTCTATTAATTGGACTTGGATCATAAATTAAAATTCCCGATATTAAATGTTTTAATTTCTCAAGTTTGTTACCTTCTACGGAAGACTACTTACTCCAAACACGATAATCGTTGAGAACCAAAGGGTGAGACGAATGAATGAACGGGCGTCTGTGTCTACTATCCATAAGCACTCCTTTCACTGACACGAGGTAACATCATAATGAAATCGTAAACGTAAACATATAAATTGTTCATTTGTAAACTGTAGTTTCAAGGGAACTCCATTCTTTAATATTATCGCTTTCAAACACAGCAGCGTCTTTCATAGTAACGTAAATGCGTCCATTTTTTTTATTCTGTGCAAGTAAGACACCCTCTTCCACTCTAGAAGGAAATAAACATTTTACACGTGAATTATCTATTGGAGCTGAAACATAGTACAGCACTGTTAAACCACACGAACAAGTCACGTTTTCAAGTAGACTTGAAAGCGAACATTAATTTAATATATAAAGCGCAGTGGTAATTATGTGTACCACGCATTTATATGATCCTTACGACTGTCAAAA